CTGAGATACATTTTGCGCGCTCGGGCGCAGCAGCGAGTCGTGCCCTCCATGCTGGGCTAGGAGGGCCAGAGAGGGGGGGGGCAGGTTCTTAAAGTCTCCTTCCCCGGATGGTGGTCATGTTGGGAAGCTCTTGTTTGTTGGCTTCAACTAATTGGAGGAAAGGTGTGGTAGAAATATAAACTAGTATTAATGGGGCAGAAAACCACAAAAGCACTGAAGGCCATCACTAGAAATAAAACTACTGCACTGCAAAACATGAAATAGCAACACCTCGAAAGAGAAAAGGATAGTTCAGGGGTTTGCGTTCCTCCTGAGAGGCCTGGGCTTTGTTCCTTGGGCCCGCAGCCCACCAGCATCAGCTGCCCTGCAGTTTCCTGGAATGCTGGCAGTGGACAACCTAAAACAGTTTGGGATGAGGTTTCTTCGCAGGCTTACTAGCTGGCCAGCTGTCTGAGCAGGTGCCTGGAGCAAGGCCAGAATCTCCGAAGCTGGACAAACACAGCCTGGGCGTAAAGCAGAGTAAATGAAAATGGGGATGTCCCCTTAGGAAGGCTGGAGGCCCCCGGGATGCAACTGCCTGCTTCCTGACTGGGAGATTGGCCAGTCCGGTTTGGACAAGCTCACTAGTACACATATGCACACACCTTTCCCATAGTGAGTCGTGAGGCCTTTTCATAGTCATGTAAAATGGTACAATTCGGAGCTTTCTACAGTTGTTTACAGCTGGCTGGATAGCTCAGTGGGTTAGAGATCTGCGCGATCGATTCCACACTGTACCTCCTTACGAGTATTGGCAGCCTGTGTGGGCCTTTGGCAAGCTGCACAGTCCCCAGGGTGCCGCAAGAAGAAGGAAGTGGTCGACCAGTTCTGAGTATTCTCTACCTAGAAAATCCTGAAAAAGGGATCACCATCATAGGCATCCTTCAGTCTCAAGAGACTATGGTAACATGCTCTGAATCGAGGAGTGTCCTCTCCAGAGCATGAAGCCCGGGTAAGATAATATGGAGGATAGGCTGTTACCCAAGCAGCAGATCCCCCCTCTCCACATTGCTGAAGTGGTCCAATGGAAAGGCAAGAGCCAATACAACTGGTTCCAGCAATGTCGCAGGAGTTGGCAGAACGACACATGCTGTCTTCGGGACCCCAGCTCCATAGGTCAGGACTTAACAGCACACACAAAATTGGTTAGCAAATATAAAACCTGCACTGCTTCAATAGGGAAATAATAGAACATAAATGAACCAAACAGTTCATTGCAAAATGTATAACAACATAACAAAGAAATAAGACATGAGGCAGCACCATATTGAGGTACAGTTATAGGGATTCACTTGCTACGTATTTAACCCTCCATGAGGCGTTGATGCAGGGCCTTCACATGCAGGCACAAATTGACAAACTCTCCTCCCCTGCTTACAAACAGTGGCTGAGAGTGGCCAGCTTTGTGTACCCCTTTTCCTTCTGATTGGGGGAATCCTGTACAATTACCACAGCACAACGTCTAAGAGATGGAGTTTGGGAAAGGGACAGGAGTAACCAGAGGACCTGAGATCCTAACTGTGCAGGTTAGTTTTGGCCCAGGTCAGAGATCCCTCTGAAGAAAGCAAACGTGCAAAAATCTACAGTATTTAAGTCTGAACTCTTAATTCTATCATGCGTGCAAAAATCTATTTAAGTCTGAACTCTTAATTCTATCATGCAATCAACACAGAAGAAATTCATACAAGGTGTATGATAAGGTGTCCACAGTGATATGCATGTCTTGCATTTTTGTATTACTGTACTATGTTTCCCCGAAAACAAGACAGGGTCTTATATTAATGTTTGCTCCAAAAAACATAGTAGGGCTTATTTTCAGGAGATGTTTCATTTTTTCATGTACACCTCTCTACATTTATTCAAGTACAGTCATGTCATCTGATTTCTGCAGAATGGTGGTAGGCGGGGTTTCACCTAACGGGCTTATTTTTGGGGTAGGGCTTACATTACAAGCATCCTGAGAAATCAAACTAGGGCTTATTTTCAGGTTAGGTCTTATTTTCAGAGAAACAGGGAGTACTATTGTTAATGTTTTTGTATTTGAAAAAACAGTACCAAGCCTGGATTAAATGGTCTGTGTTACATACTGAAGCACTTTCCTGTTTTGACCATTTTTCTGCTAGTGCAATACTGTTGTGGAAATAGCTAGATAATTTAGTGAAAGTTCAATTCCCTACTGTGCCTTTTGGGAAAAGAGCCTGCTTGTGTAATGGGAAAGCAGCACAGCCCCTGATTGCCTCCAGAAGAAAGGAATGATAAAGTACTTTTGCATACTGTACCTAGAAAGCCCTGAAAAGGATTGCCATAAGTCAGTACTGTATTGACTTGATCGTGCATTGTTATTATTACAATTCTATGATGCCACTATCCTATGGAGACTGAGGTGTTTGATTTTCAGTATCTCACTATTCCTTTATTCCTGCCACTAATAAAAATGTTGACACTTTTTTATGTGGCACATTCTTATTTGCACCACCAACAATAATAGTAAGGCAGATTTGAGATGATACATAACATTAGATACATTAGATATATAATCTTACCGTTTTCCCCCGAAAGTAAGACATATTTTTGCTCCAAAAAAACACATGAGGGCTTATTTTCAAGGGATAGTTTATTTTTTTTCATGTACAACAATCTACATTTATTCAAATACAGTTATATCATCTTCTTCTGGTTGAGGCACAATGGTGGAGGGCTGGGTTTCACTGAACTGGGGCTTATTTTGGGGGTAGGGCTTATATTACGAGCATCCTGAAAAATCATACTAGGTCTTACTTTTGGGGAAACAGGGTATTAATATTATTCCGTTCTTCACATATATTCATCCAAATATCTTTAATAACATTGCAGTTGCATCACATGGAAATATATTCCTACTACATTTTTAGTACCTTGCTATGATTTCTTTGTAAATATTTCTCAGAATTAATGCAGATGGTTACCATTAATTAATTATTTTAATGCCTTTCCTCTTATTTGGACTAAGAGATTTAAGTGGTTTCTTGTTTATACCGTATATTGTTCCATTGATCTACATCTGTTTTTTCATCAAGATCCTTTGTACAGTACCTCTCTAAATATCTATAGCTACAGTAAACATTTGATTCAAAAACAGCACCATCCTCCTATCTTGTACAAATCTTTCCCATCCCTACAAATAATGCAAAAATAAAAATAGAGGGGGGGGATCAAAAGATACTCTTACTGTAACTTATGGAAATACCTTTTGAGTTGTCATGAAACGTTAAGCATGGGAAGCTGATCATTCCTTGGTTCTATTTCTTGCCTCCGTCCTCCCTTCTCTTTTGAATTCCAATCAGCCTCACCATTGCTCCATGTCCATGTGAAAGTAATGCAAGGGTGACAACAGCTATTCCACGGTTAACAATATTTATTTATTTATTTATTAGATTCATATACAGCCCATCTAGAAGTTTCCTATTCTGGGCGGTTTACATATAAAAAATAAACTAAGATAAAATCCAGATTAATCCAAGATGGGAAAGGAAAAAAGAAAGAGGGGGAAAAAGAAGAGGAAGAAGTAGAAGGAGAGAAAAGTAAAAGAAAAGGGGAGATAGGCTAGCTAGGTAATGGCTGTAGGGAAGGCCTGCCTGTATAGCCATGTCTTCAAGTTAGTCTTGAAGGCCCTCAGCGAGGGAGCCAGGTGGATCTCAACAGGTAAGTTGTTCCAAAGCTGAGGGGCCACTCCTGAAAAGGCCCGATTTCTGTTTTTTCCCCCCACCGGGCCTCTCTTGGTGTTAGGCCCCTCAGCTGCCCAGCCTGACTGGAGCGGGTGATATGGGTAGAACTGGGCGGAAGAAGGCACTCTGCCAGGTATCAAGCTCCTAAACCATTAAGGGCTTTATATGTAATGGTTAACACCTTGAAATCAAGGTGAAAGCGGAGAGGTAGCCAGTGTAAGGCGGTCAGAGTGCAGGAAATAAGGTGACATTTTTTCACCCCGTTAATAGCCTGGCTGCCGTGTTCTGGACCATCTGAAGCTTCCGCATAAGTCCCAAAGGAAGCCCCATGTAGAGAGCATTACAATAGTCTATTCTTGAGACTATGAGTGCATGGACTAGCGTGGTGAGTTCCCCCATGTCTAGATAGGGATGCAGCTGGGCAATCCACCAAAGATGTAAGTGGGCAGACCGAACCACGGACCTGGGTCTCCATGGTAAGCACTGGGTCAGGATGGACCCCCAGACTGCAAATCAAATTCTTTGTGGTGAGAGTCATCCTCCCAAAAAAGAGAGGGAGTTCCCCAAACCACTAATATCAGGGGGCCCCACCCGCAGGACCTCTGTTTTGTCTGGGTTCAACCTTAGTCCATTCGACTGCATCCATTGCAGAACAGCCTCCAGGCAGCACCCAAGGGACGGAACGGCATCCACTGCAGATAGAAAAAAGATGTAGACCTGGGTATCATCAGCGTATTGGTG